AGTGTAACTTCTACAATGTTTGTGCTTGTGTTTCAAGCTCCTAAGTGGCCAAAGGCCCATGAACTTACAGCTCCTTGTTACTAAAAACAGTTGCTTATAGCTTGAAGATCTACAGTCTAGGATTTACAGCTCCAGTGACTATTAGAGACTGACTTCTGGCCCTTGATACTACTGGTACTAAAAATAGCAGCTGGTTTGATTCTCAGCACTTCTCTGAACAATCAATGGCAGTGATCACAACCAGTTACTTCCATATTTTTGGTGTCTGGATCATTTGCTCCTACAATGACTAATCTTGTTTTTGGGCTTTCGGTGATAGCACTTAGGGCTTGAGCAACTCCCTAGAACTTTTCTAACAACCACAGCCTGGAGCCCCTTGCCACAGCCTTCTTCCCACCGCAGGCCTCTCTCCTACCCGCAGGCCTCTCTCCGGGGTAAGTCCATTGCGCCCTCCACGCCTTGATTCCCCCAGCCTCATTCAGCCTCCCATCTCTGCCACCTTTCTCTCCTCCGAGTTTGGGCCATGTCCTATTCCTTGTCTTGGGGCCCCAGACACTTGGGGAACCTATACTGCTCCTTGATCCTTTTCATCCAGACCAACATAGTGCCTTCTCTGGGCCCCAGGAGCACTGCTTCTGGACCTGGCCCCGCCCTCACCTCTCTCTGCTTCCCTGGACCTGCACCACCTGCCAGCCTCTTTCTGGGGTGGGGGGGGGCGGGGGGGGCTGATCTTTCCTCTTCCTGATCCTTTGCATCCAGACCAACCCACCTCCTCAGTACAGTCCCCAGTAGGCCTTGGTGCCTCTTCCCACCCCCATCTACCTTTGCATCTCTCTGTGGCATGGCCACCAGCTGCCCTAGACCAGCATCTTTCCTGGGCCAAGCTCCCAGGCCAGTCCAACACCCAAACTCCTCAGGCCAAGATCATTCCTGGAGGGATCCAGACCTTAGGAGAGAGCCTGAGAGCATCTGATCCTCATCTGACTTGGGCCTCTGTGGGAACACCTAAAGACAAAATCAATCCGGCCACTCCAGTATAAAATCAAAAGAGAGAACCAGAAGCTTAGATGAGCCAGCTTTTCATGCCCAAAAAGTAAACCACAAAGACACATAAAGTTCACAAAAAGAAATAGACCTAAACTTGAAGGTCTGAGTCTGACACAAGAATCAGAAACTACAAAAGAAATTCACATGTCAAAATCACAGAGAAAAAATAATAACATGAAAAACAAAATAACATATCCCCACCAAATACCAATAGTCCTATAGAAGAGTACAATGAGAATCCCCTAGAGATAATGCAGGACATAGAACTCAAAAGAACAATTATAAACATGATAGAAGAATTCAGTGAATTTAAGGAATACACACACACAAAAAAAAGAAATCAAAGAACTGAAGGAAGATAGGGATGAACTTCTGAATGAATTCAGAAAAGAGCTGCGAACATTGAAGATTACTCAGGCTGAAATGAAGAAGGAAGTGAAACACTCAGTAAGCCAATTAGAAACGACAGGAGAAAGCCTCACCAATAGGAT